ATGTAATTTTTCAAGAGGAAAGATAAGTTTAATAGTCATGTGCCATGTAACATTTTGGTCAGTGATGGACTACATATGTGGCTCTGGCCCCCTAAGATTATAACACCCTGAAAAATTCCTGCTGCTTGGTGATGCAGCCATTGTAACATCACTGTCCACTGCATTGCTCCTGTGTTTGTGACGGTGCTGGCTGATTGTAAAATTGTTGATGTTCATAAACAAACCTACTGCTCCGACAGTCATGGGGAAGGGCAGCATAGACGGCCATGTGCTGCAGACTCGATAAAGATAACGTGACCATGCTGTGGTTTCCGTATTTAGTACCCACTCACTGTGCAGAGCCGGCACGTGTACCTGACACATCTTAGTCCTGTTTGCATCCCCTCCCTTCTCCCTCCTCCCCGTTTCCTCCATTTGTTGGTCCTCTTCTCTTTGGAGAAAGATCTGCCCACTCTTATCATCTCTCTTTTATTTATGTTTTAACCATTGCTTTAGCATGTACTGCTTCGAGCTTCTACGCACGCACACACGCACGGCCTCAGGCAGACGTTCAGGAGGGATTCCAGAGAAAAGCACTGTTGGCACAGGAGATGGGAGGTTCTTATGTGTTACTTCCCTTGAGGATCTTCCAGGGTGATGATGCGAAGCTGGAAAACAGTGACATGGAAGATCCTGACTGGGGCAGGCTTGGGTTCATACATCATACTAAAAAGTTTAAAAAAAAAATTTCCCAAAATGTAAAACACAAAAAACCTATAGAATATACAGAATAAAAGTATTTACAAATTTTTAAAGTTTTTAAAATTAATGACTTATGACACCACTTAGCTTAAAGCACCACTCATTGTACATCCCCACGGAAACAGCTCTGCAGGGAGACTCGGAGATACCGGAAGGAATGAGGAAGAGGGACATCTCCACGAGTAAAAGCAGAGCAGGGACTTACAGGTCAGTTGGGCTCAAATCCCTGCAAGGGCTGGCCAGAAAACCGCAACTGTCTCCAGCTTGGGAAGGATTTCTGATTGTAGGTCAGGGGCGGGGTTTGCAGTTTTTACACATCACCAGGGGCTACTGATGCTCCAGCTTTCGGGTTCATACTTTGTGGACCACTGAAGAACACTGGGTGTATAAAATGATGCAGGGCTTAAAACTTACACTGAATTAAAACCCATGCATATGTGAGCAGCTATGCTGTGAAAATGGTTGCTCATCTGTGCAATAGAAAAAAAAGATGGTTCTTTCACTATGGTCACTGTAAATGGTGCTGCATTACTCACACACTCATATAGAAAAATACTCGATGCCTTTCTTATATTGTAAACTAAGGTCTATCCCAAGTGTACACATTCTATATGTGAAAAACAATAAAACTTCTAGGAGCTGTGTTAGAGAGTGTCAGAGTAATACCTTTTAAACAGGACCCCCAAAGACTCTTCATAAGTAAAATATGATCGACATTAAAGTTTATGATCAGTGAAAAGACACTGTGAAGACAGTGAAAAGCCACACCAAAGCCGGGGGGAGGTCACCTGCAGCACATGCGCCGGGCAAAGGCCTATTCATGATCTCTGGAAACCTCCCGAGCAGTCACAAATCCGTAACCCACATTTTCTCCCTGTGCCCTTAGGCACCAAGAGATGATGTAGAAGAACCTTCCTGTGATTCACAGCAGCCTCAAACTGAAAAGGGCGGATTCCCATCCCTAGGGCAATGGAAAAGCCCACCGTGGGCTGCATATAGCATGCAGTTCCATGGATGGGTGAAGCTCGTCAACCACGCAGAATGAAAGAGGCGGACGATATCATCATATATGAGTACTACACTCATCCAAGTCCAAAACTTGGTAAGAGGGTTACTTTCCAAATAAAGATCACGTAGCTTCACTTGCTGGAAAGGAAAGGTCCACAGGAGGTGAATAGCAGCTGGTCTTCCTGGTTACTGACCAAGCTCTATTCCTTAACCTGTTGGATATTTAAACAAGTGCTTGATTTGTAACATAGAACTGATCTATATGTCTTTGCTTTGTGCTTTTTCTGTAGATGTACCTTTTATTCAGTAATAAGTGGGATAAAATGTTTTCAAACACAGTTTACTTACTCTATCCATTTGAAGTATAACAGTAAGCCAGACTTTACTTTTCAGTTGCTTGAAAACACCTGGCATCCTTGATTTAATTATTTTCCCAATAATACTTTAATTAATCCTTTTGTTTCATTAATTTATTCTCATTTTCTGTTCTTACATTACTCTGCATTCATTTAGTAAGGTAAATTAATATGTATTGGATATCAAATGTGTGATCTCATTTGGATAAACACCTTACCTAATTTATAGATGGCTTTGTATATTTTTTTTTTTTTTTTTTTTGTTTTTTTTTTTTTTTTTTTTTCTTGGTTTTGGTTTTTTTTTTTTTTTTTTTTTTTTTTTTTTTGGTTTTTCTCCGGTGCCGGGAACCAAACTCACGACCTTGCGCTTGCCAGGCAGGCGCTTTTGCCACTGAGCTAAATCCCCAGCCCCGGCTTTGTATATTTTGGTTATGAAGTTCCTACATTGAGAAATAGTCAATGTTAAAATTATTATAACTACATATAGGTAATATTATGCCATAGATCAACAAATTTATCTTCCAAATTCCTTTAAAAAATTCAGTCTAAGAGTTTGATTTCGGAGAACAAGATTCATCTTCTTAAGGACAGTGAAGGTGTAAGCTTTAACTGTACACAGAAGGTAACAGGGTAGTGGCTGTGCTTTCTCGGAAGCAGCTAGAAGATGTGAAACCCCCCCAGGGCGGACATAAACGACTTTCGCACTCAGGCACAGTAGGCAGTAGGAGCATCAGCATATTGTGAAAAGTAGACAAGTAGTGTAGTTATCATTTACGTCTTAGGGGAGGATGTGCGTAGATTCTGTGCCAGTTCATATAAAGAGGCTGGGCCTCTGCAGATGTGGCCTAGGGGTCCAGGGCCCACTCCCCCATGGGCTGAGCAACGCCACACATATGGCACATCCACCAGGGTTTTTCCGCCTTCCCCATTTAAAATATGAATGCCTCAAGAATAATGACTCTGTCCCTGTAATGTGTTACCTTATCCTGACCCTACATTACATTGTATATAGTTAATAAGGTGGTATGGACAATAAAAAGGTAAACGCCATATGTTACGGTTTACATCTGTGGTCCTGCAAGAGCTTCATGTGCTCAAAGGTGGTGGCTTTGGAAGGGGACTGGATTTTGGGGGTCACAGTGGTCCTGGTGATAAGAGGTGGGGTCTGGTCAGTAGGGGCGGTTGCGGTTGTGGCCTGGCAGGGTTTACCTCCCTTCTCTGCGCCTGTCCTCACTCTCTGCGGCCCGGACACCACGACCCGAACAGCTTTCCTTCACCACGCCCTCGGCCACGTTGCTTTTCCTTGGGAGCAGAGACGAGGGCTGAAAACTAAGCCAAAATAAACTTCTCCTCCTGTAGGTTACGGGTGTCAAGTACGGCGTCTGAGTAAGGAGGGAGATTAAGACCCCTACAAGCACGTTCTTCTCCTCCTCCTCGTCCATCTTCCTCTTCGTCTTGTTTCCGTCTCCTCTCATCCCCTCCTCCTCCTCTCTTTGCTGGCAACTCCATGCCCATGAGATTAACAATGGGAGAAAAAAGCCAGAAAAAGTATGTGCCGGTGAGGAGTGTTTCAGAACACACTGCAACCCGGCGAAACTTCCTTATGTTCAGTGTTGTCTCCGTGCACAAAACCTGGAACGATGCCCCACATGTGGAGCTCAGCAAACATCTTTGCACTAGTTAATTTGAACTCAGGACCTCTCCCCGCAGTATTTAAGCCCAAACGGCTCTTAGTGGCACTCACAGGATTACATGCTGTGCTTTCGAAACAGAAAACTTTCCTTTCTCAGGAACCATTCACTGCCACCTTCAGCTCGAGACTGCCGGTGATTCCAGGACACTGCGGATCAAACCAAAGCGAGAGCCCGTCTCCTACACACTCCCTTCCCTACGAACGGTGAAATGGGTCCAGGGCCCATGTTTCTGCCTGACATTCGTGTTGTCATTTCGTCCCTGGTTTCATTTTCATCCCGTTCTGTAGAAATTTAGCAAGAAGAGCTCACGGTGGAAAAACTACTCATCTAAGTTCCCGGGAGGCTGGATCCTTCACGCGGCGCCACAGACCCGCCGATCCTCCCCGCGCTGAGGTCCGTCTGCGGCGACTGCAGGGCGCAGGAG